GAAGAGAGAAAGAGAGAGAGAGAGAGAGAGAGAGAGAGAGAGAGAGAGAGAGAGAGAGAAACATCTATTGAAAGCATGTCAAACTCAAAGGCTAACAATGGGCCAAATAAATGAGGCATGTGGCCCGTGAGCCATGGGTTTGACCTGCTTGATCTATTGGTTGCCTCCCACATGCACCCCAACTGGGGGTGGGAAGCAAACCTGTAACTCAGGTACGACCCTTAGGTGCGTGGCCAACACTCTAATCACTGAGCCACACAGGCCAGGGCTCTGGGGAAAATCTTTTTTTCTTTATATATATTTGTATTGATTTCAGAGAGGAAGGGAGAGGGGGAGAGATAGAAACAACAATGATGAGATCAGCTGCCTCCCACACGCCTCCTACTGGGGATTGAGCCCGCAACTTGGGCATGTGCCCCTGATGGGAATCAAGCCTGGGATCAAACCTGGGACCCTACAGTCTACAGGCGATGCTCCATCCACTGAGCCAAACCAGTTAGGGCTGGGAAAAATCTTTTTGAAAGCAATGACATTTTTTATTTTCTTTTTCTCATGTACACTCCACATCATATTTAGGGTGTGTCTGTAGATGTGGGTGACTCAGTGTGTGTGTGTGTGTGTGTGTGTGTGTGTGTGTGTGTGTGTGTCTGGCTTACAGAGAAAATGTACACAATAATCTAAATGTAGCAAAGCGATATTAATAGGAAAGAGCAGTATGATTTTTCTCTTCAAGGGCTTTATCTAAAGATTTTCCATGAAGTTCCTTTAACCATCAGTTTACTTATTGCGTTTAGATATCGGTTTACAGATCCTAACCTATATGATCTAAACACTAAGAAACCAAGAACCTTAAAAATAAAATTCGAATTACTGCCCATTCAAAATCAAACGCAGAAGAAAAAAATCTCCCTAGAAATGAAGGAATGCTGGATTGGGAGTGTAAACCACAACACAAAGATCCAGTTTACTGTTTAACTTTCTATTTTTCCCAATATTTATCCATTAAGTATTTAGTCGATATTTCCCAATGTTAAGTATTAGTAAATATTTAATACTGATTTTCAACCTTCTCAGGGCAGTTACTTATGCTATGAAGTAAGCCCCAGCCGAAGTAAACTCTATCAGATTTTAGAATCACTCTCCTCTTTGACGCATCCTTACAGTTTCGTACACAACGGAGGGCCTCCCGATGAAATGAGCTCCCTGCTACTGAATATGTCCGAACAGAAGTATCATCAGCTTGTTTGGTACATTCAGTTTCCAGAGACCTTTCACCGGCTCGTCCACCCTGCCCTAGAGATGGGTGGGGAACTGTCATGACCCCAACTTACAGACCAGGTGACCTGCTGATGTTGCCTTGGCAACTGGCCCAAGGCCACAGCTGATGGGCCATGGATCCAGGATGGAGCCCCGGCCGAACCTGGTGACAACTCCAGGCAGGGCCACGATCAAGGACCGAGACTGCAGGACACCCTGTGGGGGAAGCAGGCAGGCTGACTTTAAGAGTCCTCCCGGTTCTGATTCTGAGTTCTTTGGTCTGTGCAGCAAGAGTCAGGGAAAACCTCTAGGGACCACTTTTTTTTGCGTCCCTGGGTGGGCACGAACCATAGGGACCACTTTTTAAGTCATCTTTTGGAAGGTGCTTCACATGTGTCCTGTCTGGACATAGAGAATATTCTGCTCAGACCCCCCCAAGGCCCCCTGACACTCCAGGCAGGCAGACCCCGCCTGACCAGATGGACAGGGGGCTGAGCAGGCCCAGGCTGGCAGCACAGGAACGCTCAGCCCACGGTCCAGCCTCCTGCCTGCGAGATGCTGCTTCCATCTTCAACACTCGGGGTGAGCGGCCAGCCTGCTCTTCAAGGAAAAGCACTTCCTTGACTAAGCATCCCTTCCTTCTCCTCTTCACTTCTCGTGAATTCTCCTCCACCCCCCAATTTTTTCTCTCTTAGTTTTTTCTAGATGGCAACGAAAAATGTGTAGCATATCAACCCACATAGCAAACGGCCTTTGCCTTGCTTTTCTGACAGCCTCCACCACTGTGTACAATCCCCTCCCCATTTCATCGACTTCTGACGCTGCCCGAAGGCTTGCCCCGGTGGGAGCCTTTCTGCCTCCTGTGCCTGGAGACCTGCTCCCTGTTGTCCAAGATTCAGCCCCCAGTGTCCCCTCTCCCACTCGGCCACCCAATGCAATCATTTTTAATTCTTTAACACAGCTCAGAGTCTTTGCAGAGGCTGTTCTACCCACTCCTGCTGTTTAAATGTCTATTTAGTAGTTTAACTTTATCGGAAACAAAGCTTTAACCTACACAAATTGGAAGAGTAATTGCATAAACCCTGGGTATACCCATCACCTGACTTCAACCAGAGTCAACTTATGGCCACTCTAGTTTCATGTAACTCCCACCCTACCCCACTTCCATCAAAGAGGAATCCCAGGCATCTCATCATGTTGTCTGTAAATATTTCGGTATATATCTCTAAAAGAAAAGGGCTCTTTTCTAAAACACGCCCACCATACCATCATCCCACTAAAAATAAACCATAAGTTCCTAAGCACACAGAATATCCCTCAGGGTCCAAGGCCCTGTGATTGACTTTTTTTTTTTTTATTGGTTTGAACCAGCATCTCAACAAGCCCACCCACTTTTCACCTGCTTCTTCTTATTCACTGTAAGGATCTCTGTTTACACATCACTTCCTTCTAGCAGCTGCCCCATCCAAATGCCAGGATGTGTGCCCCTTGTCAGTTCTCCCACAGCTCCCATCCTGTAACTCAGTGGGTCTCAAAGTAATGTCCCTGTGCCTAGCACAGTGCCTGGTCAATAGTATGCACCAACTCTCTCTGGGTTGGATGAACAAGTAAATAAATGAGCTCCCAAAAAAGAGCTATAGTTTCCGTTCCTAAGGCCACAGTCAGTATAAGGACTTACTTAGGAGTCTGTTTCCCCATGGAGCAGAGACTTGATCCTGTTGGATCCCAGCACCTAGCCCCCCACCTGGCACACAGTAGGTGTTTGAGGGATTGCTGAATGAGTAACGCTTGGGTTTCCATTCCAAGTTCCATCTGTGTGACTTGGAGGTTCATGGCTTCCCTCTCTGGGGCTTGTTTTACCACCTCTATGATGAAGAATCTGGATTCATGATTTCTAAGGTCCTTTTTGGTCTAACTTAAGATTCTGAGTTGGGGCCCAGCCTCTCGGGGAGTCCCCATTTGCCATACATTTGCTGCCCTCTGCTGGCAGGATTGGCTCACAACCCCTTTGTCCCAGATTTTCCTGAAAGAACTACAGGCCGGCAAAACTAGGTCCCAGAGAGTAGGCTGGTCTGTAAATGGGACCGGGACATAAAACATAGTCCCATTAAAACATAGAGGCCTGCGCCTCCCTCCACCCCATCCCGAAAGGAGGATCCTGGGGTAGCAGACAGACAGGAAGACTAGCAGTGGTCTGACCCCTCAGGCTACACACGAGAACCTGGGGAGGGAAGGACTTCAAAAGAAAAGATGGGTCCCAGGCTCCCCTTCAGACCAATAATCAAATCAATAGTATGGACCAACGCTCCCTGGGTTGAATGAATAAGTAAATGAGGGGGCGGGGCCCAAGCATCCATCTGTATTAAAAGCTTGTCTGCTGCAGCTCATGTTCCACCACATCAGAACTGCTGGGCCACACTAATGCTCACATGTGCAAGTTGAGCCAAAAGCTTAGAAGCACAGTTAAAAGCTCCTCCAGGGAAAGAATAAATGAAGACTTTGACTTCATCATACAAATATCCCTTAGTCCGTCTTAGCACATTTTCTTCCAAACAGGCTCACCCAAACCCACAGTAGGCTGCGACCCCTCAAAGACCTTCAGGCCTCCGTGCCGAACACACTCAGTTCGGCGGGTCCTCGAATAATGTCATTTCGGTCAATGTCGTTTTGCAGGGTGAGGGCCAGAGTGGGACGGTGCCACTGCAGTGGAAGTCGTCAGGGGGTGTCAGGGTTCCCCCGATGGGGTACTATTAGCTCCATACCTCCCCCTCCCCCAGCATCTAATCAATATTTCCCAACTTTTCCTAATCTGATAGGTGACAAATGGACTCTCATGATTTTCATTTGTATCCTTATGACAATTTGTATTTCTTCTTCTGTGCTTTGCCTCTTCATAGCCTTTGACCCTTTTTCTAATGAATTTCTCTTCTTAGCTCTTTGGGTTCTGTTACTATTTATTAATCCTTTATAAATGTTGCAAACTTTTCTTTCTTCTTTGTCTATTTTACTATTTGTCTTGTAACTTTATTAGTCCCTATAACCACAGTTTCCTCATTTACTAGCTGTCTGGCCGGTTTGCTGGGAGGATTAAATAAGGTAGTGTCTGTACAATGCGTAGCCTGCTGCACCACCAGGTCTCCATAAGTGCCAACGATGTTTCATAACTGAACTTCTCTACATGACACTCAGAGACCCCAGCCCCCGGCTGGGCCTGCCTGGCCTCAATAGTATACTAGTAGCACCATGAAACAAGCACAGAGGACATTCTGCTCAACAGGACATGCGGGCGCTCATCACATACCATCGAGGTGTGTCAGCTTTGGATCTGGTGGGGGTTCCATTTAAGTGTTTGCTCAAGTTGGAGCAGGACTCTAACGTGAAGGGAAAAGACAGAAGGCTGTGTGACTTGGTCTAACTCGACACTCTCCCTTTGTCACATCCCTCGGTCAGATGGCCCCTGAGTACTGCAGCCTCCAGGAAGGCCTGCCCTACCTGGACATGGTGATCGCAGAGACCTTGAGGATGTACCCACCGGCTTTCAGGTAGGCTCACACCCCCACCCTGCGCCCCAGGTCCCTTCAGCATCACTGCTTGGGGTCCTCACCTGTCCCGTCTGCCACCACCTGCGTTATCACCAACGCTGGACTCAAGCTCCTTGGAGGCAGGATCTGAGTCTTACGTTTCTTTGTATCCCCTGGGGGCACCCAGTGTAATGCCTTCCATGCAGTAACCACAGCAATAAGCGTCTCAACATGACCTTCCTCCCCACCCCAAGCTGGTCTCCTTGGCCTCCCAGCGTTAGATGGCTTTCGCCACTCCCCTGGTCCATTCCTTCCTTCCTTCATTCAGCAGCTTTTATTGAGCATCTGCCTTGTGCCATGCACTAGGAAATGAGCCACGTACAAAACAGAGACACACCCGTGCCCTTGGAGTTGACATTCCAGGGGGGGCTGCCAAGGCCTGGTCCCCAACAGCCCACACCTGTTCCGTCTTCGGAGTTCCAAGCCAAGGTCTGACTGCGCCACGCCGCACGCCGCACTGTTCCTCACTGCCTCCCTCCCCGGCACTTTCGGCCCTAACTATGCTTCGTGTTATATTTGGACACATTTCAGCTGCTCTGTAAATTGTCTCCACTGTACATCCAGCCACACTAGCCTGTGGCGCCTTGAGAGCCGGAACCAGGCCACCTGCTTCTTTCAAAGTCCCCCTAAACCGGGCATCTCATGGAGCCGGGTCTCCCTTCAGGTCTAGATTTCAGGCTCCAGAATCAGAAGCCACACAATAAAGTCCATCCACATTTCTATGAATGAATAAACCACAAGGAGATATAAGAAAATGTGGATGATTTGCAGGTATCTTGAAATTATATTCCAAAAACATCACTAGAGAGTGTGTTTGTAGATATTGTCCAATATGTTCAGGCCCAGAGCAAATGTAGAGAATTCCAGGGTGTGAGTCATGATACGTGGTCCCCGAGCACACGAGGCTCTGTCACCTGTCTGGGAGCAGTGGTGACGCCAGGCCTGCCTGCTCCCCTGGCGCCAGGGTGAGGAGTGACTCCACGGGCCTTCCCTGATTTGGAGGGAGCCGCAGAGCAAACTGTATCCAATCTTTGTTTTTTAATGATTTATATCCAACGTCCTTCTAATAGAACTTGGGCGGCTGCTAAACACATTAAAAGAAAATTCAAAATAAGACATTCAGGGACACAACAAAGACCGTCAAAAGGAAAGAAGCCTTTAGGGGGCCCCAGAGACACTGGTGTCCCAGGTCAGGCCCGCCGGGTGCTGGGGCTCCTGGCACAGGGGGAACTCAGCTGAATTGAACAGTCGTGTTCTCTAGGGGGAGGAAAGTGTATAAACTCATCAAAGACACATCATTTCCTGGATCTAAACTCAATCAAAAACTCATCACCAGACCTTGAATAGATGACGTGTTGAGTGACAAAGTGAACAGGCTCTTAAACACAAAATGCCGCGGCCAGTTCTCCAGTCCTCCTGCTGGCCTGTACCCGCAGCACCATGTGAGCAAGCCGGCAACAGCATCGCTCCTGGGAAATAGCACACTGGCGCTCCCCCTCCGGGGCAGGACAGAAACCAGAGTACCTGGATGCATTTGTTAAAATTCCCCCATAAAGTCATATAGTGCAGTGACCTATACTGACAGAATGGGTCTAGGCCAGTGATTTTCTACCTTTTTCATGGCACACATTAACTAATTACTAAAAGTCTGTGGCATGCCAAAAAGTATAATTTTTGCAGGTCTGACAAAAAAAATAGGTATAATTTTTATTCATTCACACTGGACAGCTATTATTGTTGGCTGTTGACAATTTTTAATTTGACAATCTAAGGGAAAAGAGGTCAGGGCCCCTGACTAGTCAGGTATTGCACGTTTTAAAAAGTCGTATGGCACGCCAGTTGAAAATCGCTGGTCTAGATATAAAGTCAGGACAGTCTTGGCCCAGCCCTGAGTTTACTGTGTGACCTTGGGTAAGTCCTGTACTGCTCTGTGCCTCTGTGTCCTGAGTGTCCAATGGGCACACGTGCCTGCTCCGCCTGCCCCACGGAGTACAGTGAGAGTCAGTGGGATAGTGATGGGAAAACGCGCTCCCCTCTGAGCAGCCGGCCATGGAAGGTATGAGGTAAAGAGCAAGAGGCACTGAGCTTCGCGTCGAGTGGCCAGCGTCCAGTCCTGCTCCAACCCCGGGCACGCCATGATCTCCTGGGCCTCCCCTTCCTCTACCCCTACTCCATTGGCATTTTAAACTGAGCTCTGCTGATTTCTGTTATCAAACAACAAAAATGAGACAGGCAAACCATCATTATTCTCACCCAAACAAGAGGCCAATTCGCTTTGGCCCAGGCATAGGATTTGAGGTGAATGTAAAGAGAGTGAGAATTTTATTATTCTATTCTAGTCTAGTCTAGTCTAATTCTATTCTTCTATTCCATTTTATTATTCCTTTAATCTCAGAAAAAGCCTGCTAGCTTTTCCCAAGCACTGATACAACTTGACTGACACCCTCATCTATAAAAATAACTCAGAATGGCCCTTGTGAAAAACATAATTCTTATTGAAAGGTTATTAATGTGAGTCCAATTTCTATGCAGTAGAATTCAGAGATTTTTTTTCTGGCCTTTTATGCAGCCTAACCGAGCCAGAGAGGCCACCATGTTCAGAAGGGAGGCCCTGTTTTCTGTTTTGTAGGGGGCTTTGCATCCAGGTCCAAGCTATTTCCGGTAAAGGTGACAAAGAAGGGAGGCCAGGGAGTAGCCTTGTTTGAACCTTTTTGAGCTGAGGTTGTACACCCCTCCCCCCATCTTCCTGCTCAAAACTGGGGTTTTGCTCCCAGATGCATACACATATTAACTGCATTAGTAACTGAGGATCTGAATGGGGCCCCACAGCCCTGCCTCTCAGGCTCCTGACTCTTATATTAAACGCTCATAACAGAGTGATGAATGCTGCAAGGAGCTGCTGTTGCTGTTAATATCTTTTATAGCTATAATTAATATAATAATTTTATCTCCTCTAAGATATTGAGGGAAGCCCAGTCCTACCACTTGAAGCAAAAGCCAACATAGATTATTTTTAATTTTTTAAAAATTATTTATATTACCAAAACAATATGCTTATAACCTAAAAAATACCCCAAAAAACTAAACAACACAGAAGGATCCAAAGAAAAAGTTGTCAGCCTGGTGCCCTGCCATCCTCCACCCCAGTCCCACCCCCTAGAGGAGATAATGGGAGTTTAGGAATTCTTCCAGAAATTGTCTGTCCATATGCAAACATAGAGAGTCTAGCCCTTAAAAATAGAACATAAAAGGGATTATGCCATGGCCATTCGATAAAATAAACCATCTGACCAGAAACATTCCTCTCTGGTGGAACTTATCCATAGTGACACAGACAATGAATGGGGAACAGATTTTCAAACTCAAATTTCCTTTAGGTAAAGCGAGGGGTGAGGGAGGGTGTGGCCATGTAAACCCTCACCAGAAATAAGCCCTTCAAAGGCACCCATGTGCCCCCAACCCAGGCATAAGATGGGCTTCAGGCTGGATGAAGGAAGGAGCAGTGACTGCGCTTTCACCAAGGGCCAGGCCAGTCTAAAAAGCCTAGAGCAAGCATGTCAAACTCGTGGCCCGCAGGCCACATGCCTCGTTTATTTGGCCCCTGTTAGCCTTTGAGTTTGACATGCTTGGCCAAGGCTGCAGGGTCCTGGGCAGTAGAGACTTAATGGGGTGGGGTGGGTAGGCCTTGGTCACCCCCCGAAGGGGACAGGGCCTCCTCTTCCCTTGTCCCTCATTCCACACTTCAGACCCAGAACCCCTTTGTCCCAGCATCGCCCCACCCTAGCTCTCCTCATCTCTACTCTGCATCAAGGCCGGGGTGACCCATTGTTCCCCCCTCCCTCCCCGCGCCCCCCCCCCGCCCCCCAGGTTCACACGGGAGGCGGCACAGGACTGCGAGTTGCTGGGGCAGCGCATTCCCGCGGGCACAGTGGTCGAAATGGCTGTGGGCGCCTTACACCATGACCCTGAGCACTGGCCACGTCCAGAGGCCTTTGACCCCGAGAGGTGAGCACCGCCCCTTCAAATGGGCCCCTGAGGGAGGTGAGCGATGGGAGACTGTAGGTGGCTGCCTGGAGACCCAGATTTGGTAAAGATCTAGTACCATTGTCCCCTGTCCAAAGCCAAGGCAATCATATTGTACCACTTTTAAAAGCCCCAAACAGAATCCAGAGTTAGCATTTCAGCAGCACTGCATGCAAGGAACAAGGCAATTTCAAGTGGGTGTCCTCTGTTTGTTCAAACCAGGACACAGGACACCGGATCATATTTCAGGTGTGCACGGGAAAGTAACACAACATCTTTTCCTTTTTAAAAAATGGAGCCTGATCCAAAACAAGAAGATCAACACAATTTCTCCAGGAATTCATGAGAACCAGCTAGACTAACATGGCAGACCTGGACCCCCTCCTGCCCCTACGTGGGATGTGGTCCCTTGTTTACACTTCATTTCTAGGCTCCCAGGCTTAAAATGTCTGCACCGGTATCCACAGCCCCTCCTCAAAAGAACGCATTTCTATCCCTTCCTGTGCGATCTGGCCAGGGAGGGTTTGTCAGGCAGCAGGTGGGCTCCACCTTCAGCGCTTCCAACTTCCTGGGGACCCAACCCCAGCTCTACAACCAGCCACAGGGAAGCTGTGGGCAGTGGGGCCTAGACAAATACTATACCCTGCTGCACAGCAGCTCCTGGAAATAAAGATCAGGAACCATAAACAGTGGCCGCTGGGCTTATAGCATCATCTTTGAAACAAACATTGCATTAATATTCAGTTGAAAAAGGGGATGGGGGGTCCAGGGTACCTTGGGCCCAGAAAAGTGTGGAGGTGGTAAGACGTGAGCTGGCTACCACACAACAGTGGCTGTCACCTAGCTTTACTGCCACCGAACACGTGTGGCACACGCTGCCATGTGTAGCAGATAGGCAATTCCTCTGAGGAAGGCCTTCCGTGGCTCAAGTACCACAGCCTCCAGTAGTTCAATTTCACTGCTTGAACCAGAGGGGCAAGGACAGCTGGCAGGACCTGGCCTTGGGGCAGGAGAGGAGGACCAGGGCCCAGGGACCCTTCTTAGGAAGTATGGCTGGTGTCACCTCTGGCTGATGGAGAAGGTGGAGCCCAGGGTCCAGGTAAGGGCTGTGGTTTCTTTAAGGCTCTTACCTTTCTGGGTCATAGTGAGCCCGCAGGCTCGTTAACAGCACGATGGGCTGTAGGAGGGCAGGAGGGCAACATTGACTGTCCAGGTGATTCTTTTCATTCAAAATGCCTTTGCAGGAAGGGAGGAGGGGGGTGGAACGAAAGCTCAGGGATTAGCAGCCACCAGCTCCATAGTTTGGGGACAGGCCCAAGAGAAAACGGGATTCTGTTGCCTTCGGTGGAGGTTAGGCCCGCTTGGTAGGATCGTCACCTCTGATGTAGGGGACCCTCAGCCAGACCGAGTGGCTGAAGAGGCCCCGAAGTGGAGGCGGGTGTCCTGGGCCAACCCTGACTGCGCTGCCTCACAGGTTCACGGCCGAGGCCCAGAGGTGCCGGCGACCCTTCACCTACCTGCCATTCGGAGCGGGTCCCCGGAGCTGCCTCGGGGTGCGGCTGGGGCTGCTGGAGGTCAAGCTGACGCTGCTCCACCTCCTGAGCAAGTTCCGGTTTGAAGTCTGCCCTGAGACTCAGGTGAGCCCCCTGCAGGTGAGCCCTGCTGCTCCAGGCTCAGGCGTGTTCACCGCGTTGTCTGCACTGCAGCTGGCCTAATGTTATTATTATTATTCTTTGTACAGTAGGGTTAGCCCTCATGATGCTATAGCCCTTCCCTCCTTGGCAAAGAGAATCCAAAGTAGGTTTTATTATTCCCATTTTCAGACGAGGAGCTAAAAAGAGGTTAAGTAACTTGCCTGAGGTCAAACAGTTGGACTACAGGCTCCGTGAGGACAGGGAACAAAAGTTTGTCATATTTATTGTTCGGTGCCTCAGCACCCAGCTTAATGCCAGGCACTTGGTAGATGCTCATTCATTCATTCAACAAACATCAACAAGCAAATGAATGACTAGCGAGAGTGAAGAAACTGGGGTTCAAATCAGATCTTGCTCATTCCCAAGCCCTCCCTCTCCTCCACATCCAGCAGCCTGTCTGCAAGGGGCTAGCTGTTCCCCACACAACAGGAACTTTGCTCTCCTCCATGCCTTTTTGGAACTCCCCTGCACAGCAGTAGACCTGGACCAGAGCGCATAGGGGACAGATAAGGACACAGTGACAGATGTTGACAACTTCTAGATCCAGAGTGGCACTGCCCCTCTCCCCCAGCAAACAGGGAGACTAGGGTGGGTGCTGGTCCAGGAGGAATAAGGAGTTCAGTTGGGCTAAAAAAGATATTGGATGTGAAATTGTCCACCAAGTTCTGATGGTCACTGCTGGAGACAGGAGGGACAAATTGGGAGCACAGAGTTGAGCCAAAGCAGATGAGGGAACAGAGAAAGAAGGCAGGTCTGACTGCCTAGGTCTTCCACGTGTGCAAGACTTCCTTCTGGGGTTTGCCTCATTACCCTTCATCTTGACATACAGTACAGTGGCTGGACCAATGTCCCCAACCACTGCTTATGCCTGGCACTTCCCAGCTCAAGAACCAGCCATGAGTCTGGAGCCTGCTGATCTGGGGAGAACTTATCTGAGCCCATTTTACATTCCCCACCCCAACTTCCCACTCTAAGAGCGTTCTACCTGCTCAGGCTACTGCCCCAACCTGGAATGTCATCTCTTCAACTTTCCACCCCAAGTCTAGTCCCATCCTCCACATTCCTGGGTGTTGCCTCAAATCCCGAAGTGACTCCTGAGAAGTTCTGCTCACATGGCTTCTCCCATTCCTAGACCCACCTCAGGAGTCACCTCCTCCGGGAAGCCCTCCCTGACTTCGCTAGCCCCAAATGACCTCCTTTTTTTGAAGTCCAATGGTGTTTCTAGTTTGTCTAGGCCTGCACTAATACAGGAGCTACTAGCCACATGTGGCTATTTAAATGTTAATGATGAAATCAAATAAAAAATTCAGCCCCTCTTTTCCACTAACCACATTTCAAGCATTCAACAGCTACATAATGCTAGTGGCTACCGTACAGGATAGCACAGGTCTAGACCATCTTGCTTCTGGGGCATAAAACTGGTCTCCCATCTGAACTATAATCCTCAAAGACATCTGACAATTCTGCCAAGGCCCCAGTAGTAAGGCCTGGTGACTCCTTTCCTCGAAAGGGTTCACGTGAGCCACTGAACCATCATTTTACATATGGCTCCAGGGGCTACCCTGCTTCTTAAGTATTTCTTTGGTGTTTCTTCCAAGACCCCAGCCCACCAGGGATCTTCCTTGTAAGACATAAGGAAAGCTTTCTGCATGGCACTGAGGTCAGACCACAGCACACTTGAGCAGGAGTCCTTCCCAGAGCGGCTGCTCAGTGTCTGGCTGGGCACAGGGAGGGAGATGGAGATGAGAAGAGTTTGAGGCTTGGCTCTCTATTTTCTAGTCATGTGACCTTGAACAAGTCACTTGGCCTCTCTGAACCTTCATTTCTTCATTTGCAAAGTGAGCCACTACCACCTCTTTTGCAGGGTTCTTGGGAGAATAAATGGGAATTATTAACACAGGAAAGGGGGGATGAGCACCAGTGCTGCAGGGCCCAGTGCCTAGTCCTGGAGAGGCAGCTCTGCTGGGTCCGAGGGGTCCTGATGGGAGGCTGCATTGCTCGCTCCTGGCTCAACTCTCTGAGACCTCAGCCGAATTTCCATAACCCTGCTTCAGGCCCGGTTCCAAGAATGTTTTCCTGTGGTTGTTTAACTGTGACAAATATTTTAATCTCCTCTATCTTAGGTACCACTGCAGCTAGAATCCAAATCTGCCCTAAGTCCAAAAAATGGTGTCTACATCAAGGTTGTCTCCCGCTGACACAGTTACAACAGCACCTTCTAATTCAAAGAAAAGCCTTGTGGAAATTCGGATTTGGGGGAAACGTCACCTAAGTAATTTAAAGGGTGCCTGGCATACAAGTATAAAAGAGGTCATTTCCGTAACATTTCCTAAATGTTTAATAAACGTTTGTTTGTTACGCTTAGTTTTGTCTTTGCCAATGGTGTTTGAACCACAGATCCCCCTCTCTCAATAAGGAATTGCTGATAAATAAGTGAAACTGTAGCTTTGACAAAATGACTGAGAACTTGGGGTTTTGTCCTGGCCTCAGGATGGAAGGAATCGACACAGGGGCACTGTGCTGAGCTGTCCTGATGGTACCAGCTCATAGTCCTTTTCAGCTTCTGGTGCTTTGCAGTATTTGACTGAGGCAATGACATTCAGAAGTTCAACTTCAAAGGTGGTTCAAAAGCTTTATTATTCTTTGACATTTCTAGGTAGGGTAATACCGACTTCTTAAGTTTCAATGTACAGAAAAGTGATAGAGGCTAAAGTGTACTTTTTCTTTTTAAGAGCATCATCATCTTTTCTTAATTTTGATCAAGAAATTAAAATACAGAGGTGAATGTTAGTAAAAAGTAGTTATTGTATTGCTGAGAAGTTTAAATTCAACAAAGAACTTGCAAATTGAATCCCAGATCTCCCACCAGCAGCCATGATCTTGCCACCTCCCTGAGCCTTGGTTTCCCCATCTGTAAAGCAAGGAGGCTGACCAAGATCAAAGACCTTTTCCTCTATCTGACCTCTGAGCAGCATTAAGGGGCTAAATGTCGTATAGATAATAGGAATCTGTGAACATGGATGGGTTACCCAGATGCTGACGCACCTTTAGAAAGTTCAGGCTGTTTCAGGTGAGCTGGCAGAATAGGTTGCCACATATCCGTGGCTGGAAATGCTGCCTCTGCTGTGAAGTCTTCTCCCTCCAGCCCAGAGCTCCCCATGCTTCACCCAAAGGGCTCCCCTGAAAGTTCCTGAGAGGAAGGCAGCCTTGTTTCCCAGCACTGCCCCAGCCCTGGTTGTTGCCCGTCCTCTAGGACAGTGGTCTGCAAACTGCGGCTCGCAAGCCACATGTGGCTCTTTGGCCCCTTGAGTGTGGCTCTTCCACAAAATACCACGTGTGGGCGCGCATGTACAGTGCGATTGAAACTTCGTGGCGCATGCGCAGAAGTCGGTATTTTGTGGAAGAGCCACACTCAAGGGGCCAAAGAGCCGCAGTTTGCCGACCACTGCTCTAGGAGGTCCCACCAGCCCATCACAGCCCTCTCATACACTTGCTGCCCACCACCTGCTCATCTCTGGAACCCAGCCCCTTCGAGATGCCCAGCCCAGGGCTCAGACTCACTGGGAAAAACCATCCATTCCCATTCCCGGTGACCCATTTGCTCCCCTGATGGCCCCACTTGTCTCCCCCAGTCCCTGACCCCCCATGGCCATCACAGAACCTCATCCTGCAGAAGGGCCCAGCTGAGCACCTGGCTCCCTAGCTGAGGTGCAGGTCCACACCTGACACCCCAGCCCAGCCGTGGGCAAACTACGGCCCGCGGGCCGGATCCAGCCCATTTGAAATGAATAAAACTAAAAAAAAAAAAGACCGTACCCTTTTATGTAATGATGTTTACTTTGAATTTATATTAGTTCACACAAACACTCCATCCATGCTTTTGTTCCGGCCCTCCGGTCCAGTTTAAGAACCCATTGTGGCCCTCGAGTCAAAAAGTTTGCCCACCCCTGCCCCAGCCCATCAACTCTGTTGGCTTCCCTCCCCTTCTCCATCCAGGTGGTCACAATCTCCAGACACAGCAGTCAGGCTTCCTAATGGGCTAGAATCGCTGGACTCACACATCCCCAGGCTGTTTAAAGCCCACTGTTCACGCCCAGCACCAGCTAACACGGGGCAGGAAATGGCACTGACAGGTCCTGAACAAAGCCCTCCAGCTGCATCCCAGCTGGGCCTCCTGACAACTTCTTGGCTATCACACACACACTTGCCCTGGATCCCACTACCTCTTTGCATTAACATTCTGAGTCGTGGTCATTTTGACTTCTCATCACAGTGCCCACTCCCTCCTGTGCCCACACAGGAGGAACAGCTTTCCCCATGCCCACCCTACAACCTGGCCTCATGGACCCCCATTCCTCTTGAATTTCCAGTCCATGTAGTTGCTTTCCCTGACTTGCTTTCTCAAAGGTCAGCCAATCCATGTTGTCTGCAGTCTTCATAGCTCACATGACTTTTCTGGAGCATTTGATACTCTCCCATCCCAGGTTCCTCTTGCCATCCTTCCCACTAAAATTCCCCAAAAGACCATTCCTGCTTCCCACTCCTCGGCTCCCAGGAGCCAGATGGTTAAAAAGCATAGGATCAGTATATCTACATTTAAGACTTAATAGGCAGCCCTGGCCAGGTAGCTCAGCTGGTTGGAGCAACATCCCGATACACCAAGGTTGCAGGCTCAATCCCCAATCAGGGCACATACAAGAAGCAACCAATGCCTGGCCGGCACAGCACAGTGGTCGAGCATTGACCTATGAACCAGGAGGTCACAGTTTGATTTCAGGGCCCATGCATGGGTTGTGGGCTCGATCCCCACTGGGGGGTGTGCAGGAAGCAGCCGATCAATGATTTTTTTTCATCATTGATGTTTGTATCTCCCTCCCCCTTCCTCTCTGAAATCAATAAAAATGTTTACAATTTTAAAAAGCAACCAATGATTGCATAAATAAGTGGGACAGATTTTTTTCTCTCTTCCTTCCCCCGCCTCTCTAAAATCAATACATAAATTTTTTTAAAAAGACTTAGCAGGCAAGCACCTGTTTAATGATTCTCTGACACCCCACAGGCCCCCACCTACACGGTAGGAGGACTAGTGACCTAATCAAAAAGCAATGAATGAAATTTCAAGATTAGTCAGGATGTGGGGGAAATATTTGGGAGGTTCTGAAAATCATAACATATACACCTAGGTCCTGCTGGTGAAAAAGGTAGTATTGTCATTGCTTCTTCATTTTTCAGGTCATTTAACTCAGTTCTCTTCTGGCCTGATTAGCTGACCTGTGTCAAGTTCCAGATCACTCTCTGGGACAAACCAACTGAACTGGAGGCATCGTGTGGAGAGTGAACATATTGTATTAGGAAGGTGAGGGGAAGAAGGGTGCAGGTCAGGAGAGGACTGTGGCTGTAGAATGAACCTGGGGGGCCAATGGGTACAGCACCCAGGAAGGGGCAGACAGCCTCACATCATGGAGCTTCCCTGCCAGCCCTCTACCTCTGGACAAGAGCCAGCCAGTGTCTAGCAGACTCCACAACCTGCTGTGTGTGGAAGACACACAAAGGACACACCCACCTCCTCCATGTCCACAACATACAGTGATTCTAGGTTTGTGGGGCTTGGAACTTGTATGAAATGGGAAAAAAAAGAAAAATACTAAGATGTAACTTGCAAATTTAACCAAAATGTATGACCATGTGACCATATAGCTGGGGCCCCTCCTAGGGCTGTGGAAGGGGCTTCTTCAGCTTCATGATAAACTAGACATAGCACCCCCGAAGCCAATAACAGGGGCTCTGTGATATTCCAACACCCAGAAAAGCTCCTGTACCCAACAGGAACTCAATACACGATGCTGAAGAATGGACTTCAGTCGTCACCCACTTGAGATAAATATTATTTTATTTCCATATTGTGACATCTGCAGCACAGGTATTCAAATCTCATAAAGATATAAAACCCATATTCGGAGGATGTCCAGTGCGCTTAGAAGATGCTGGAACAAGCATTCACGTGCTAGGCCCATGACAAAGGGAAACCGCAGGGACTGAATGACACCCCACAGTAGCCATGTGTCTGACGATGTGATATATGGACCAATTCCAAGGCCAGAGCCCAGGAGAAGCAGCAGAAGAGCTGCCTGGATTAGAACCAGAGCAACAGACACCATGACTGCACCTCCCTAGGCCACAAGACAGGTTTTTCTGTACATAGGCTATAAAAAGTCGAATAATGCCACTAAGACCCTGAAAAACCAAATCACTAGAGATAGACAGAAATTATTAAAAATTAAAACCAATCCATAAAATAGTTAACTAGAAACTCTGTGCCTGATACCAATCAGTAGCAAAGTCAACAAAAATAGTAAAATGTAAAACTTACCCTAGTAAAAATCTCACCTACAATCACTACTGGTTAGCCCATATCAAGCTCAAAAATTACTTAAAACCAAAAACTATCATCAGCAAGAGATTAAGAAGGTAACTTCATTGAAAAGTCAATGTTAAACAGTTCATTAAAAGCTTTTTTGTTATAAAAAAAAAAAACTTTCCCAAATAGCTATTTCAAGGAAGACAAGCCTGAAAGGTATGAAATGCATCCTCGTGCTCACTGCCGGATACCAAAAAAGGATGCTAGGGATAACAGGCTGGAGGCCCCGTCTACAGGCTTGCTGGAGGTGTACTGGATGACGTACTCTGGATAGACCTGGTGCTTCTCAAAGATCACGAAGATAGAAGGGTCTGACATGCTGTTCACACAGCTGTCGTAGAGAATGTTGCCCTGGTCCTCCTTGGCCGGGGGGCGGACTAAGGAGGCATTGCCTCGGGTGAACTCGCCCACCAGCACCCGAGCCAGGAACATCGTGTAGCACTTCGAGTCGGATTTGGTGTAGTGGTGGGAATATGCAGCATCTCGGGCAAAGTAGCTCCCTGCAAAAACACACACAGGCTTAGTTGGGCACTGGGAGGACAGCTGCAGCCGGGCAGGAGGGGCTCTAGCATCCTGCCAACCAGGCAATGCCAATGGCCTCTGCTCCTCTGTCACCACATCTTGCTCCTGTCCTCCATCCTCCCTCTTTCTCCAGCCTTCCCCATGAAGGGCATCAGGGGGGACACAAAACAGACAGAAAACTCCTTTCACATTCTGAATATGTCAGTCAAATCATAAGGCTCTCTGGGCATAACACTACTTAACCCCCAAACCTGTTTCCTCAGCTATAAAATGGGGCTGTCATGCCCAACTTCATAAGGTTGGTGTGGAAAGTGACCAAGATCCCATACATAGAACCACACTGGCAGCCCAATGCATACAATTATGAACCCTGTTTAAGGGGAACTTGAGTTGGAAGCTGCCACCTATACATTTGGATT